CCAGGTGCCAGGGTGGCAATCGACACTGTGTTGCGGAATGTTTGGTACTGGTTATCTGTGCTCCAGAGAATAGCTCAAATATGTTGCTTCAATTATCCGGGTACAGATTGTGGAAGTGGTTCTTGTGTTAGCTTTTAATTAGCACACGGATTTCGTGATGGGGGTTCCATACATGTTCGGTCTCTGTTGTTCTTTATCCACCCTCCCCCCATTCCACCCCATCCTTCTCCTACTGTCCACTTTCTCCTCCCTCTAGTCACTGTGACCATCCACAGTACTCTTAACCTTTGCCCCAGCCTCCTCTCCCCATTTCACAGCCATCTTTCTGGCATCTCTCTGTGCACGGATGCTAGCACATGAGGAATATCAAAGCTAATGCTTCTGGTAACATATATTTTTAAAGCCGTGCTTTGGTACGCTCGCTCATTTCCATATTTCATGGATTTCCATGATCAGTCTACCAAATTAACGACCCCAGCTCTTCCCAACCAGTGTGTGTGTGTGCTGATTATAGGAGCACTATTATTTTATTGCACTCTTATTTGCAAAATGACTTCCATGGGGCCACTGAAATGGCTCAGTGAGTAAGGAGCTTGCCACCAAGCTTGACAACCAGAGCTTGGTCCTCAGAACCTTCATGGTGGGAAGAGAGCAGCAACTGCTGCACATTTCCTCAGACCTGCACAGGTTCTGTGGCATGCACATGCACACATATATGCACATGAAGCAAGCAGACACACACATACACACAAATAATATAATGTCTTCAATGAAAAAACCTGGTTTCCCCCAGGGATAACACTGGCTGGCCTGGAGCACAAGTGGTTGACTTGTTTCCTTTACATCCTCTTAGGTCTTTAACATTTTGAACCATGGACTATACTACCAATCCAAAGATGTGTGATTTAAATCTAAATTGTAAAAATGTCTCAGTGTTTGCTATCGCTGTGGTGAATGGCAATGTTATTCGGTGTCTCGTGTGGATTTGACACGAGTGTATACACATGAGGCATTCAGACAATCATAGGAATTCTACATCAGAACACCAAATGGAGGGAGATAAACCATGCCCTGAAAGCTAATGTGAGAAGGAGTGGATGGGGAGTGGAAAGGCCAGGCACAGCTTCATGGAGGCCCCAGCGGACTTGGACAGGAGAGAGCACAAGAGCTGCACAGCCACAAAGCAGGCTAGTGTCTGTACAGTCAGCCCCTGTGCAGTCGGACACCCAGCCTCTGTGCAGTCAGACACTGTGCAGTCGGACACTCTCATCGTGGTCTGCATCTCCCAGAGCTGAACCAGGATTTCCACACCATCCATCCCTTCCCACCTTTCCCTTACTTCCCTGTGGCTGATAGCAACAGCTCATTGAAATTAGCACAGAGGAAGGGGACCACTGTCAGGACAGAGGCAGCCTCATGGCAGCTCTTCAGACTATCCTGTTGACTTAGTGTCTGTCTCCTTATAGACCTTTTCTCCTTAGGTAGTCTAAGCTCAGATTCTTGCCCTGTAGCTTTCTAACTGGGCTTCAAGAATATGTGCTCAGAGGAAGTGACCCCAACTCTCATGTCTCCATGCTCAATCATCCCCGGGAGCCCCTTGCAGGTGATAGGTGAGTCCTATCACAATGAGCCAGAAAGGGAGACTAGGATCTGCACCAGTCATTGCCAGTTAGAAGTGGCATACTTACAGAAAGAAAACCAACTTATATGGAGAACCAATGTGTCACCCAGCAGAAGCTCTTGGCATCAACAGAAGATCTCAGTTACCCATAACTGTACCACACGTGACAAGTACCCTGGGGTTCCAAAACTGATTCAAAGACCTACACCCTCTGACATATATAATTGGCAGTGTTGTACTTTGAGTTTCTGGAGTCTACGGTGGCAAGAAGCCACCACATGCCACAAAACTCTCTACCTGATCTGCTGGGGCCATCAGTATAGATATCTATGAAAAGGTCATCAGAAAAGTGTCTGCTGTTGACCATTAGCGATGGCAGCATACTCTTGACCATTGAGCTGAGCTTCTTCTGCCTGTCTTCATGGTCACATTGTTGTTGTTTTTTAACCTGATCTCATGGATACACCCACAAACTACCTTGTGATTATTTTTTGTGTGTGTTTGAAAGAAGAAAATAGCTAAATACATGTCCAGAAAATGATGAGATGAAACAAATGGATGAGAATTAAAAGGATGGGGGCTGGAAGATGTTGTGGAAGGCAAGAATGTTCGATGTGCACACATGAGAACCTGAGTGTGGATCCCTGGCATCCATGTAAGAAACCAGGCATGGCCAGGTAAAAGCCTGTGAGTCTGTGACTCAGGGGAGGGAGGAGGAAATTAGTAGAAGGGCTGTGGCTTGATAGTCAGCAACCTTAGCAAAAAATGGTGAGTTCTGGGTTCAGTGAGAAACAGTGTCTCAAGAGAATAAGGCAAAGAGTGACATAGGACATGTGGTATCCTCCTCTAGTATCACTGTGTGGATGCACATGAGTCATGGGTATAAACATCCAAATACATGTAAGCATACAGTATAACATTGTATATATGATATATGATATATATATATATATATATATATATATATATATATATATATATCTCACATACACATGGTCACTAAGAGAGTAAAAATAACCATCAATAGTAAAAGGATGATAAAATGACTGCATAATGCAACGTCCATCAAGGACTAGTTTAGGGAATATCACTGAGAAATGATTAGAAACCCAGACTCAACACTCGGGTGACATGGGTTTTGATCCTGACACTGTCACTAGCAGGTTAGATGATGCTATGGAAGACAAATGGGCAAAGACAGACCTAATGATTCCCCAGGACAGTACACCTCACAGTGGTGCAGCCTGGCACTAGGCTCTCCTCACGAGGTCTTCTGAGGTTGACAGCCCCTCTAGTGTGTGTGTGTCTCATCAATACGATGAGAATGGGCTGAGTGTATTGACTTTGTGCACTATGGAGCTTCCGTGGATGTGTTCACTAACAATTTGTATGGATCCAAAGGTGAGGACCGGAAGGCACAAGGAGGGGCAGCAAGTGAGCAAGGAGACATGCGGGCTGTCTCCAGGGCTATTCTCTTAACCTAAACTGAACACTGATAGTGAATGGACTCAGGGAGCACACACTGGCTGGTGGCAATTCTTTCATGGTTGTGATCTCACTGAAAATTAATGCCTTGAAAATAAATTCTATTTTACATAATGGAAAGATATTCTGATTCACAAATGTAGTATTCACTTGATTAAATCTGTCGATATTACAGACAAACATAAAATGAATAAGCAAATAGCTTACAGAATTAATACAGGGACCCCAGAATCAGTGATCATGCAGAACTCAGTGTGAGAGCATGATGGGCAAAGGATGCAGTCAGACCTGGCTATCACAGGGTAGACCTGGTATCACAGGGTAGACCTGGCTACCACAGGGCAGAGGGGGCAGGAAGGAAGCTGAGGGTAGTCACCATATAGAAGTAAGTGATGGTACCTGGAAGAAGGCTGAGAGAGTTCCATGTCTTCACACAGAAAGGAAAAATCTACAAGTTCATCAAGGAGAAATATTCCCAGCATGACTACCCACAGACCAGGCTATTCTTCTTTGGAATGATCTTTCTTTATTTTGTGTTACTCATGCTGCCTAAAATCCCAGCCAACATGGGCAGAGGCCCAGTGCCATAAGCACAGGCCCAACCTCATCCTGTGCACCTAAAGTGAGGTCCGGGGCAAAGGGAAAGCTCTACCGATTGTGTGGAAATGAGGCTTCTCCACCTTTTTCTCAGTCAGTGTTTTAGTAGCTCCCAGCTGGGTGTTTGCATGACTCCCAGCAACTGGCACAGGCCAGTCCCCAGAGGAGAGCAAGCCCAGTGAAATTATCCTTTAGTACCAAGGATGGAATACAGGGAGCCCCCAAGCCCTAAGAACAAGTGTACCTAAGAACCTCCCCCTTTAAGTCTTGAACCATATTGTTCTCGTACGTTTGATTAAGTTTGGCCATCAGGATCTAGAAAAAAAATCTGAAAAGTTTCAGATTGAATAATCTCCAATAAGAAGAACCAAATAATTTTTTTCTTCTGAAATCTGAACGAGATCATTAACACTATTTATGTATCTAAACCACTTTGGATGCATAAACTATTTTTCATGACCACTTAAGAAGGGGCTGTCATTACTATCCGACCTCACAGATGAGCAGTTGGAGACACAGATAGCCATGTGACTTACCCGATTCACAGATAATACATAGTAGGAATAGGCATCCAAATATGAACCCTTGGACACCTCCATTGTCAAAATTATTGTTTTCGGGTTGTTATTAGTAATTAAGTAATAAGAACAATTAGTTGTTATCAAGTAATAGCACAGTTAATAACCATATTATTGTAAGCTATGATTCAGTACTTGGTTATTATTCAGTATGTGTGCATTGATAGCTACACGTGTCAAGTGTATGGGTGAGGCTCCTCCCTCAGCCTCTTCTGCCAGTCCTCCTAGTGATCCTTCCACATGTAGCAGGAAGGAGAAAATGCTCATAAGCACCTCAGTTCCCACTCTTGAACACATATGTAAGTGTGATGGCTTATTGGGTGAGTTCTCTGTATATGATTAAAATATTAAGACTGTTAACTTCTTGATTCTACAGTCATTTTCCCAAAAGAAAAAAGGCACTGGGCCTTTGTGGGTAATGACCAGAAAGTAAGATTTATGTTTGTCTTTGGCATTGAGGAGGATAGCCCTTGAGGGACTTAGGAATTGACAAATGCATCTTTGAAGTGGACTTTGGTGTGCTCCTGACACGCTGAGATGCAGTGGGTTCCTGTGCTTCTATGCAGAACTCTGCCTGCTGTTCTGCATAACACATAAAACTCTGTGCCTTAAAGTCCCTCTTAAATCTCTCATGGCGGGACATGTGTTTACTTCTCTTTTGTGCTGTAATGCAAGCACACCACAGAGAAAGCACCAGAAACATGACAAGCTCCACCTACCTGTGATCCAAGTGGTGGATGGAGAGAATCACTCCTGAGTTTAAGTGGATCTGTTTCAGGGTCACAAGGATTGTGAACTCGTGCTTATTCCTCAGTTTCTGGAAAAACCGCTCAGCTGTAGCAGTGGGTGCTTTTATGCTTCTGGGGGAATCTGAAGTTAAATAAATAAGAAACACACATTAAGAATGCACTAGAGTTTGGTTTTACAAAGTATGTCTTGCAAACAACACCTTTCTCAAAACTTTATTGAAGAATAATTCATAAATACCAAATATTATACTTCCTTGGTAGGTTCTCCTAATAAGATTTCATGCTATATTCAACACAGGACTCTGCAAAATCACGTGAATTAATGAATATGTTTAGAAATCTGTTTTTAAAACATGTCATCTTTGAGAGAAAAATCAAAGTCTTCTCAGAAATTGAACACTCTCAACTTTTCTCTTTACATACTTTCTCCTGCCTGTTACCATAGCTACATCAGTAACAACACCAAAGAGATGTGGATCCTACAACACCAAAGCAACCGGCCACCGCAGAGCCAGGTAGATTTTCTGACACCTCCCGAGAGAAAGCTGGATTTAAATCTGTGAGCCTCTCTCTGAAGCGGTATCTTTAGCCAGAAGGCTCCCTATAAATAGATTCTTGAAAAGATCAGTGAAATTAGTCACTCTCAGCCTTCTGTGCAGCGGATGAAACAGGAAAATCAATTTTTCTCACCATATTTGTTGAAAGAAATACATAGAACTTAACTCCACCCCCTCCTCCATGGGCTTAGAGAATGCTCAGCCTAGCAAGTTTGCCTAGGAAGGAAGAAACTTTACTTTGCACTTTCATATGGTTTTAGTCTTGAGTTCCAAACACAGGACAGACAAGACCTGACAGAGAGGACAGACAGAGCATGGGCTGGGTGATCAGGAAAACCCTCTTGTTGAAGCACCTGATCACCATGCACACGAAGCTCTCCTCTTTATACTGTGTGCTTAGGGCTGATGGGAGCCAGAAATGCAACCTATGTTGTGATCAAATCAGTCTCTTCTTTCTGCGTGAAATTGGACTAAGGTGAGTAGTTCCCAATCGGAAGGGTGGTGTTTGGAGGGGACCATACGTCCTGTGTGACCAAGCTGTGGTCATGTTAAACAACAGTGGCAAACCTGGAGGACACGATGCTCACTGAAGTAATATCATTGAAGACTCGTGTGGGATCTACTCAAAAGTGAATTCGGAGAGGCAGATGGTAGACTGGTGGTTGTCATTGCTAACGGGAAATAAGGACATAGTGGCTAACTCTTCAAGCTTTAAGCTTTGCAGCATGAATGCATCCTGGGGCTCTTATGTGCACATTAGTGAACAGTAAGGTTATTAATAATAATCTATTTCACACTTACTGAGAGTAGATCATAAACCTCACTGTGTACAAAAGTGGAAACTATATGGGGGATGGATAAGATAGTATAATTGTGAAAATTGCTTAACTGTATACACGCGTATGATGTATTTGTTGCACACTTTAATTATGTGTACTTTTTCTCAGTTATGCCTCCGTGAGGAGAACTTGTCCACCAAAACAAACAGGCAGCACAAGAATAAAGAATACCCATCTCGAACTTTCAGTAAGCATGTGCACTTGCTGGTCCATAACAGAGTTAAGTTACAGTTTTACTATCAAAATCTCACTCTCTTAAATGGATATGGGGAACAGATACTACATTGGATCCATAGAAATTGTTAGTATATCTTCATATTTTAGGATGTTTTCTGTGGTTTTTTTTGAAAAACAGTCATTGGAATTTTTGTTAGGACTGCATTGAATCCTCTCGTCGGGTCATTTGGAGTGACAGGGGTATTTTAACAATATTAAGTATTTGAATTCTCAAGTACAGGATATCTTTCCATTTGCCTGCAACCCTTACAACAATACCCTTTAGCTTTCAGTGTGTAGGTCTTTCATTTCTCCGGTTAAATGTATTCTAAATACCTCCGCGCCACTATTACAATCATAATCTCTCGATTCCTTTTTTACAGATGGCATCTTGAACACGCCCAACATTTTTCCTTTTACATACTTTCCCCTGCCTACTACCATAGCTTTTGGAAACTCTCAAGCATTTTCAGTCTGTCAACAGTCAAGTTAAAGAAGAGATTTAGCTGTCTTTCGATTATAAAAAAAAAAATGGGCAATCATTATTTTCTACTTTTCCAATTAAAAAGTATCACAGCAATTGCCACCATGAATCTAATGAGTCTCCACTTACTGCAATGTGTAAAAAACTGAAATTAATTTATCCATGTAACCTGACAACAAAAATACTATGTGTGGATTCAGTGATAAATACCATCTACTCTTGGAGACAGAATAGCTGACTGATGCTTCAAGACTCACCAGGTTAGTATTTTTAAGACTTTAACTAGGCGCTGTTGCTACTTATATTCAGATTAGAAACATGCCAGCTTGTAACTATTATCACAGTTAGTGCCCATTGCTTTCGGTCTCCTCTCAACGTTTTCATAGTGTAAACTATCCAGTGTAAACTCTAAAGCCAAAATAATCATGGTGGTTTTAAAAGCCAAATTTAACAACTTGATTAACACTGTGTGCAGTTTGAATAGCCTTTAAGCATAAACCATCTCATTTAGCCCTCAGAGCACTCTGTAATGTGTGGGATTCTTGGCTCCGTTTCATTATAAACTGCAGATTAGAGACGAAAGCCCAGGGTGACTCGGGGTCACGTCATCGTGAAAGAGGAATTTTAAGTTATTTAAATAGTATAACAGGAATGCAAATAGTTAAAAATTACAGGTCAGCTAGCTTGCTAACTCAAGGCCATTACAGGGAATACAGAACAGAGAAACAAAGGTCAATTGAGTGTTCTGAGAATCTGTTCCATACTGTCTGACTTAGCCTCCTCTGGAGAAACTCCCACCAGAGGTCCCAAGGACTTGCGAATTAAATTCAGCCAGATGGTCTGTTGGCTCAGATAAGCATTCACACTGGGTCGCAAGGCCACAGGGACCAGAGACTATTCTATTTGTCAAACCTCTGCCTGAGATCTGCTTACACACATTATAGACAATTGAAATAACCAATTGTGTGTGATTACCCACAACCCTCTCCCTCCCCCCAGCCTTTGCCTTTAAAAAACCTAAGCCATTAGGTCTCAGGGTCGATAACCCCTACCTCCTGCGTGAGGCATGTGTCGACCCGAAGCTTCGACAAATAATGACCTAACTCATGTTATTACAGCAAGAAGTCTCTGGAGTGTCTTTGGGGGTTGCGTCCTTTCTGGGTCCCCCCTTGGAGGGGTCTTTCAATAATTATCCCCAAATTCATTCATTTCTGTGACTGCATTGCATTTGGAAACATCAGAAACAATCCTGATTGCTTTAGAACTAACTCACCTAATTCAAGTGGCAGATCCAGGACCCAACTGAGGCCAAGTTGCTTCCAACGGTCACCTAACAGAGCCCTACAGTACCACAGGGATGCATACTCCAAGGGGTATGTAAGTGCTCACTTTTACAAAAGCATACTGTCCAGATAAATAAGTTTCTCATGATCTCTGAGTTAACTGGGCTATTCAGAACTTCAATGTGTTTCCCACCATGGGTCCTTGCAAGTACTTGCCCTCATCTTAAACTAAAGTGATGTGAATTAAAATTTAAAAAGAAAATATTCCTTAGTGGGGAAAAAAAGCTTTGGGGGCTGGAGAGATGACTTATCTAGTTAAGAGCACTGGCTGCTCTTCCAGAGTGGCTCCCAACCATCTATAATGGGATCTGATGCCCTTTTCTGGTGTGTCTGAAGACAGACATGATGTACTCACTTACATAAAGTAAATAAATCTTTTTTAAAACAGGAAAAAAGCTTCCAATAATTGTACATTCGAAGTCACTAAGTTACCTGGAATTATTTTACAGCCATTGTTGGGACAGACCATGTCCCCTGACACCTTAGCTTAATTGACACTGTTTGATCCTCATGACCAGGCTAAGAGCAAAGGACACAGACATGCTCCTGAAGACTGACTCTGACCTTCTCATTCTCATCACACCAAAAACAGCCTCAATTTTTCCCTTCCAAATCCAATACCAATTTTAATTTGGACCAACACCACATACCCAGATATCGCATAACCACACTATGATGAGCACACGTTAATCTGATGAGTCAGAGCATCAATGAGCAAATCAAACCAAATCAAGGGTCAGATTCGATGCCCAGAACCAGAAACTGGCTGGTTGACCTTAAACAAATCATTTGGCCTGGAAACTGAAATTTTCATTTATAAAATAAGACAAAATATAGTCGCTCGTAATATGTGAGTGCCACAGTAAAATGCCTCTAGAATTCAAACTTGAACTATTAAAAGTTTACATAAGTTTCATTTCATTTTTTTACTTTTAATTATTATTAGTTTGTGTGTCTGTACAGAGAGTGTGTGTGTTTGTATGCGTGCGCGCACGCACGTGCATTCGCACACGTGCACACACAAGCATGTGCATGCTACAATAATCACACAGAAGACACAGAACAGTTTGATAGAAGAGTTTCTCTGGTTCTACCTTTGTGTGAGTTCCGACTGGCACGGCAAGCACCTTGGCCCACTCTGCCCTCTTATATACAGCCCTTCATTTTATCTGCTTTGACTTGATTTAATGCCAATAATAACCATAGTGTTTCTTACCACTGAACTTTATCAAGTCTCAGATTGTGCTCCACTGAATTAAGTCATATATCTCAATCCACACATATGCAACAATTTCATTGTCACAAGTAGAAAGATTGTTTTAAAAAAGAAATTCATTATTTACAGGATCAAAGTGGGATTTCTATAATAGATCATTAAAACTGTATCAATACTTCTTAATAAATAGATGTAATGGATAGAGAGCTATAAAATAGTCTCACATCCGAACGGTGTGAAGGTTGTTTATTGTGTGAGTATGGATTACACAAGAACATTCTAACAAGATCTTTGCTGAGTAGCCAAAGAGAGAGTACACAGTGCCCTACCAATTATGCAGAGGCGAGATGCTGAAAGGCACAATCTCATCTTCCCCTTAATAGGCCAGTTTGACCTAAGACATCAATTTAGAGAGTTTATTCTTCTATATTTCTTCCTTAATTATAATAATGAAATTATTTCAGAG